AGAACTTGGCAAATTGTAAAGTTAAAGAGGCTACGTGCGTTTCCTGAAATTTAAACTTGCGACTGACACCTGTGGCCAAAAAACAGAACTGCTCTCGCAACGCGCGCTTTTACGTGCACACTTCACTAGTCATCTGCTGCAAGGAGGTCAACATTGTTTACAGAGGTAAGAACATTGTTTGAGATAAAGTGTTCTGCTTGCGAGTGTAGGCTACTTGCTGACTAGCGGTGGCGGCAGAGTGATCTGAAACGTTTTAACATGAAAGCGCTTGACGTCACATCCGCAGACAGCGCGGGAAGAGTCCGACCCGACAGAAAATAGGAAAGATAGGATACAGGCTTATAGGTGCACCCACTGTGAGCGGACAAGGTGTCAGTATGATCATCAGGAGATGTTTTAGTCATAAAATGGTAAAATAAAAAGGGTATTGTTACGTTTATTTTGGGGGGGAAAGCTGCATATAGCTTCTTTAAATGGCTTAGGCAGAAACTTGGCTTGTTTAGGTCAAGAATCCCAATGCACAAAAGAAAAAGGCTTAGTAGTGCAGCCCTAGAAAGTCAAACTGAGAACAGTCAGTCATGAAACATCCAACTCCAGTCAGAAATGAACACCAAAGAGAAACATGTTGAGTTTCATGAATTTTATTAAAACACCAAATTTCACTTGACCAGGTTAACTTCTCCACTAGAAACCACAGTTTGCCCACTAGAGATGGTCTTGACGTGCACGTCTCTTCCTGTAAAAAGTGGTAGAAGCATGAGGGGCATTTAAATAAGTTCTCGGTTCCTGAAGTCAACTTACGGCAAACACTCACTTTTCCTAGTGCAGCTTTGCTCACAGGAGCCAGAGGAGGGATGGCACACCGCTGTACTACAGTGGATGAAGATCTAACAGAGGGGGGGAAAGGGTTAAGCCGTAGAATACACTGTAAAAAGCGCTAATATTAAGGGTTGAGGTAAGGCTGCAGAGCATACGGTTTCCTGCAGAGGAGCCAGTGATGCTGGATCTACAAATGTGAACATCTTCACAACAAAGCGCTTGTAGTGGGTAGGGAACTGAAGACCAGATGATCCAGCCACTGGAACCAATGTGGTCAGGTAACGATCATCCTGGTAAGGGCATCTGAAAGGTAAAGAGGCAGTCAGAAATGCCTTACAGCACACTAGATGGATAAAGACGGGCCTTACTCACCCATCAACCAGAAGATCCCATTGGGGTAGACTGAGTGGACTGGGGGTTGATGTCGCCCAGCAACGTCCCAGCATCAGGACAATGTTGGGGTCGTTCCTCTCCAAAATGTGCACCTCAACATACACAGGCTCCCGCAGGACTTTTGTAACTGGATAATCTGCGTCACTGTAGTAGGACGTGTACGCCTCGTCCCCTGAGGAAGAATGCAGGGTTTAACTAGAAACTGGAATTTTAGAAAGAATTTAGGCATGCTTGGGACAAACCCTTACCTTCTGCACAGCCTTTGGTGACACATTGACCATTTGCCAGTCTAAGCTCCACCCTGAGGGGTCCAGGCGCAGCTACTGGTGGAGGTGGAGGAACGGTGTTGACCTCCACAACCAGAGCTTCCACAGAGGTACCAGAGTACCTACACTGGAAGAGAAGCCTGGGCGACAAACAGTGAGCTTGTAGCATTTGTCATTGATTCACATTTATGATAAAGCGTACGTCACTTACTCAAAATGGCTGTCCCTTGTGATGGAACCAAGTGGTCCGACACCCACTTCATATGAGGAGGTCATTCTGTTTTCATACACCACATAGCCACTGTCCTCCTGCAAATAGTAACATTGTTGGCATGTAATCCATTCTAAGCCATGCAGAACAAAACCACAAGAAGCTACTCACCATCATGCTTGTGCCACATGCAGTGACTGGGAACTGGTATATAGCAAAGAAAGGTGTGGATCCCACAGGACTGCAAGCTGGATCATTTCCACCCAGGAGACGGACTGAATCCAGGCTCAATCGAGGCAGCGTAACATCTCTAGCCACCACCACCACAAACTGACCATCTCTTATACACTGGACAGTCACTGGAATGAGTTACAAGAGCAGGTTAATGCAGAGGACCGGTGTAACATGAATGCCTCTACATTGACTCTACACTCTTACCTGCCTTCCCATAGTAACACTGCTGTCCATTAAAGCAGCAGTTGATAGCAGCACACTCAGCACCACTGATACCAGGTGGTCCACATTGGATCTGCTCATAATCAGCTACAGTACATTTGTCAAGGGGCTCTGCCTTCACCACTGGGTACTTAGGGTGAAACTGCTGAGGAAACCGTTGACTAGCTTGCTGTTGAACTGACTGAGAAAACTCTTGACCTGCTTGCTGTTGAACAGACTGAGGAAACTCTTGACCTGCTTGCAGTTGAACTGACTGAGGAAACTGTTGACCTGCTTGCAGTTGAACTGACTGAGGAAACTGTTGACCTGCTTGCAGTTGAACTGACTGAGGAAACTGTTGACCTGCTTGCAGTTGAACTGACTGAGGAAACTGTTGACTGCTTGCTGTTGAACCTGCTGAGGAAACTGTTGACTAGCTTGCTGTTGAACCTGCTGAGGAAACTGTTGACTAGCTTGCTGTTGAAACTGCTGAGGAAACTGTTGACTAGCTTGCTGTTGAAACTGCTGAGAAAACTGTTGACTAGCTTGCTGTTGAACCTGCTGAGGAAACTGTTGACTAGCTTGCTGTTGAACTGGCTTTTGAACTTTCTGAGGAAACCATTGATTAGCTTGCTGTTGAACTGGCTTTTGAACTTTTTGAGGAAACCATTGACTAGCTTGCTGTTGAACTGGCTTCTGAAACTGCTGGTTAGTTTGCTGGAACATCAGAGCTTGAGGATTCCGGGGCAGATCACTCCACTTTGGAACAGCATGACAGAAAGCACAGAACCAAACACAAATTGCCAGAGACTGAACAGCAGACCAACTTCCTGCCATTGTTCAACAGCTAGTCACACTGCTGAGATGCAGCCCTTTGGTCTTTTTGTACTCTACAGACTTTGGGTAATTAATGATAATCCCTCCCTCTACATTAATAGTCATGATTCTCCAGACTTGCACCCCAGAGTGGGAGTTTACGCAACTAGGTGATTCCATTTTTACTTGTTTTTTCCACCCATTTGAACATACATAAAACCACATTGAGCTTTTTTTAGAATAGTATGCCAGTACAATTTCTGCCATTCTGAATTCAGCCTTATTTTTTCCCCGTCAGTAGCTGAATATTATATTAGATGTTTTAGCTATTCTGGATTGATTTTTTCTTCGAAACACATCATAGAGTTCTCGTGGCAACAGGCCTGTATATTCAGGGTATGATTCAATAACAACGATGTGCTAAAAAGAGAAACGTTTTTCCTTTTGATATTTTCGTGGGCGGATGACAACATAGGATGACCACCTCTCCCGCATTCTGCGGGACAGTCCCGAAATTGTGAGTTTTGTTCCGCAAGACACAAATAGTATCCTGCATTTCAGTTATGTTTGTATTATGATAATTTTTTTTCCATCCCTAAAATTACAATACCACAGAAGAAATATAATAAAAACTGTGCATGCCATTTCAAAATCTATTTGTGCAGCCATCATGTTCAAGCTGTGAAAATAATCAACATACGCAATCGTAGAGAGGTTTTCCCGCTTACGACAACTAAATGGACAGCGCAAAGAAATAAGCGCAGCCCACAAAGTCTGTAAACAAAGATATACCAGCAAGAATTTCATCTCACATTCTGGATAAGAACCTCAAAAGCTGCTTAAATTGATGATTCAAAGCATGTAATCATCCATCCCTTTGCCAAATATTTTCAACAAACATGCACCGATGCCATGGTTGCTCAAGCGCCACCTATAGAAATGGTCGAACAACTTGCGATACAACAGTTAAGGGATTAATGCTTAAATAAAGTCTACTTTTCAATAAACATTACTCAGACTAGCCTGGAATAAAACCACTATCACCCTGTACTCATCCTTTATCCCAAGATATGATTCTATACTTGTGACAAAAAAAGAAAAAAGCATTACAAAAAGCCAACAAGTGACCTTAAAGGGGGTTTGGCATCAATATATGCAGTTATGCTTGTCCAGACAAAAAGTCTTATGTAAAGCCTCAAACAGCCAGTAGCTAAAACCTTCATTTGATATGTGGAACATCAACAGGGGCCCAAATTAACAACTAGAACTTGGCAAATTGTAAAGTTAAAGAGGCTACGTGCGTTTCCTGAAATTTAAACTTGCGACTGACACCTGTGGCCAAAAAACAGAACTGCTCTCGCAACGCGCGCTTTTACGTGCACACTTCACTAGTCATCTGCTGCAAGGAGGTCAACATTGTTTACAGAGGTAAGAACATTGTTTGAGATAAAGTGTTCTGCTTGCGAGTGTAGGCTACTTGCTGACTAGCGGTGGCGGCAGAGTGATCTGAAACGTTTTAACATGAAAGCGCTTGACGTCACATCCGCAGACAGCGCGGGAAGAGTCCGACCCGACAGAAAATAGGAAAGATAGGATACAGGCTTATAGGTGCACCCACTGTGAGCGGACAAGGTGTCAGTATGATCATCAGGAGATGTTTTAGTCATAAAATGGTAAAATAAAAAGGGTATTGTTACGTTTATTTTGGGGGGGAAAGCTGCATATAGCTTCTTTAAATGGCTTAGGCAGAAACTTGGCTTGTTTAGGTCAAGAATCCCAATGCACAAAAGAAAAAGGCTTAGTAGTGCAGCCCTAGAAAGTCAAACTGAGAACAGTCAGTCATGAAACATCCAACTCCAGTCAGAAATGAACACCAAAGAGAAACATGTTGAGTTTCATGAATTTTATTAAAACACCAAATTTCACTTGACCAGGTTAACTTCTCCACTAGAAACCACAGTTTGCCCACTAGAGATGGTCTTGACGTGCACGTCTCTTCCTGTAAAAAGTGGTAGAAGCATGAGGGGCATTTAAATAAGTTCTCGGTTCCTGAAGTCAACTTACGGCAAACACTCACTTTTCCTAGTGCAGCTTTGCTCACAGGAGCCAGAGGAGGGATGGCACACCGCTGTACTACAGTGGATGAAGATCTAACAGAGGGGGGGAAAGGGTTAAGCCGTAGAATACACTGTAAAAAGCGCTAATATTAAGGGTTGAGGTAAGGCTGCAGAGCATACGGTTTCCTGCAGAGGAGCCAGTGATGCTGGATCTACAAATGTGAACATCTTCACAACAAAGCGCTTGTAGTGGGTAGGGAACTGAAGACCAGATGATCCAGCCACTGGAACCAATGTGGTCAGGTAACGATCATCCTGGTAAGGGCATCTGAAAGGTAAAGAGGCAGTCAGAAATGCCTTACAGCACACTAGATGGATAAAGACGGGCCTTACTCACCCATCAACCAGAAGATCCCATTGGGGTAGACTGAGTGGACTGGGGGTTGATGTCGCCCAGCAACGTCCCAGCATCAGGACAATGTTGGGGTCGTTCCTCTCCAAAATGTGCACCTCAACATACACAGGCTCCCGCAGGACTTTTGTAACTGGATAATCTGCGTCACTGTAGTAGGACGTGTACGCCTCGTCCCCTGAGGAAGAATGCAGGGTTTAACTAGAAACTGGAATTTTAGAAAGGCTTTAGGCATGCTTGGGACAAACCCTTACCTTCTGCACAGCCTTTGGTGACACATTGACCATTTGCCAGTCTAAGCTCCACCCTGAGGGGTCCAGGCGCAGCTACTGGTGGAGGTGGAGGAACGGTGTTGACCTCCACAACCAGAGCTTCCACAGAGGTACCAGAGTACCTACACTGGAAGAGAAGCCTGGGCGACAAACAGTGAGCTTGTAGCATTTGTCATTGATTCACATTTATGATAAAGCGTACGTCACTTACTCAAAATGGCTGTCCCTTGTGATGGAACCAAGTGGTCCGACACCCACTTCATATGAGGAGGTCATTCTGTTTTCATACACCACATAGCCACTGTCCTCCTGCAAATAGTAACATTGTTGGCATGTAATCCATTCTAAGCCATGCAGAACAAATCACAAGCAGCTACTCGCCATCATGCTTGTGCCACATGCAGTGACGGGGAACAGTGAAAAAGGAGGTTAAGTAGCCTACCTTGGGGTTATGATTAACAAAAATGTTGTTAATAGAGAACATTCAAGTTTTATCTCTAAGATAGAAAATATGAAGAAATCCCTAAATCACTGGTTATCTTGAGACCTATCCTTTTTGGGTAGAATCCTCTTAACTTAAATTTAGGGTATATCTAAACTTATCTATTTATCGCATGCTTTGTATACTGCCCCAAAAGTAGTTAAATCAGTGAATTCAATTTTATTTAGATTTCCATTACAGAAGAGTAGATGTTAAAACTTCATGCTGATTTATACCAGTTTCGCCAAGGTAAGCTAAGACATAGCTTAACAGTAAACTATGCTTCTCCATCCATTTGTGCTTCTTTCCATATGGTGGTGTGACTCCCCTTCTGTCCAGCATTAACGGCTGCAGTGTACTTGCCGCATCAGCACACACGACGGCTACAACTATAGTGTTGTCTCCCTAGTGGACCACCACGACAACCGTCTGGATTGAGCCGAGTAGGGGACATCTCTTGGGTCTTCAAGTGGGCACCTTCTGTCCTCAGTGTTTCGTCAACTAGCCCACGATACCTCAAGAGGGCTCGACAGTGACCCTGGCGTCCCAGAGTCACCCCCCTCCGTCCCCCACTCAACTCAGCCCAGTTTACTGACCCCTACAGAGACCTAACCACAATCACTCGCACCCCAACCCTACGCGCCAACCCGTTTGATAATGGCTGTCGAGCCCCACTGGTGCGTTATAAAGCAATTTCAGTGGCAAACGGTTCCGTATGGCATACCACCTACCGCAAACCACATTATCTGCCAACCACCGTCATTCAAACAATATACAGAGGAAAGTAATGACTGTAAATGCAGTGCAACCTACACAAACAGACTAGAATTCTACGAAACCGTAGCGTGGCGGCCTGTACATAGCCAGCTAGAATCTTTCCGTCTCAACCACAGCCAGTTGCTGCTCCTTTCTGCTGCTTCAGATAAGTTCTCTACCGTGCGACGCAAATCTTGGCCACTGAATCCAACATTTCTGAGGAACCAGGTTGTAGAGTGTGCCACAAAACCTCGACAACCCACTTCCACTGGATAAACCTGGACTCTCCATCCTCGCTGCTCTGCCTCTGTGGCCAGATGAGCATACCGCAATTTATATGGAGAGATAAAACACATTATCTACGTAAATTCCACATGGTTCAAGAGTATGAACACGGAGGTTTGAGAGCCATTGAATTTGAATCTCTTCTTGGTACTTTCAGAATAAAATGGCTGAAAGAGTGTTTAGCAAGGTCACATTCTATGGTACCATATTCCCAATCACATTTTCAATAATATTGGAGGCCTTGAATTTGTGTTGAGATGTGATCTTGATCTCTGTAAAATTCCTCTGAAGTTATCAAATTTTCATAAAGAAGTATTGCTTTTTTGGAAAATGATATTTACCCATAATTTCTCCCTAAAATCTCTGTTTAAAACTGATTGGTATAGTAAAGGCATGGGGTCTCATTCATGAAACATTTGTAAATATACAAGTAAATATGAGAGTGATTTGCGCGTAAAAAGACCTTCCCGAAAACTCTTCTTCTGATTCACAAATACTTCGTAAACGTCAGATGTGATAGTGAAATGCGTGTGTGTGTTAATGAATTCCAACCAGTCATAAATGGGATGCGCGTGCACGTTCATTCTCAATTACCAAAATTATATCCGACTGACATCTATATATAGGCATATAATAGACCTTATGCACCAGAGAAACATGGGCGCTATCATCTTTACAATATTGTCTTTGAACTTGTGGTTTGCGGTCACTCTGTATATTTCTATGGCGTCGCTGTCGAGTAGTAATAAGCTGGTGAAGTGGATTTACTTATTGTAGAGTTAACAAAAGTTACAATGAGCATTGTAATGTTTATCATAAGCATTGTAAAGCAGATGTCTTAACAAATGTCGACCGGGAATTTTTACGAGCAGTTCATTCATACCTACTGTATGCAAGATCGCTGTGAAAATACAGACCGGAAGTCAAAAGACAACGAGCACATCGCTGAAAAAGAAAGATTTCTCAGATGCAGAAACTGAAGTTTAATTATCAGAAGTTCATTCAAAACGCCACATTTTATTTTCAAGCGTACATATTGGCGTATCAGGTCCTAAAAAATGGAAGCTTGGCAGCATATTACATATTTCCACTTAAACATACAGTATGCGATTTTTGGCCCCCAGGGGTCACTTATTTAAAATAATAACAAAAGACGTACTTTGATGACGTCGGGAAAGCGCGTGGGCTCACGGGAGTTGTTGTCGCTATCAATGACAACCAGCTCAGCTCATGGCATGACATCATCGTTTCACAAAATATACGGTGTACGGCATCTCTCTGTAGATTTAGCTTGTCAAGAAGCTTTTTACCTGTGTCATGGTTTTTCTCCTGTCCCAAACCCTTCTCGGGTCATATTTTTCACCCGTACGTTTGAGCTTTACTGAGCTGGCTGTAGCAACAGAATGTGCAGGCAAAGCGTAATCGTGGTCAATAACTATATACTACAGATGAATATAAATATTTTTTATTACGCTCCTTCAATGAATGACCTATTTTAGAAAATTTTTCATATATAGGGCGCACCGGATTATAAAGCACATAAGATACTGCAGTCAAATGTTTGACTGGGTTTGCGTTATTATGCATCCACTATGTGCTAAGGCTAAAGGGAATGTAGTGAGTGCGCGGCGCCGGAGGTAAAGCATGAGCATGAGCGCGCTGAAGCGGGCACGTACATTCGCAGCCTGACTCATATGAGTATTCAATGTGCGTGGACGACCTGGTTACTGTGAACGGGGAGCGCTTTATGCGCGAGCAGCACCGGGGACAGTGTCTGTTAAGAGTGAGACGCTCGTGAGCGGGCATGTGATTTACACACATAAAAACAGAGCCGGCCCGAGGCATAAGTGAACTAAGCGGCCGCTTAGGGCCCCCTGGCCAGCAGGAGGCCCCCTAATCGGGGTTATTTTTTATTTAAAATTTTTTTTAGATTACTTAAACAAGTGACATAAATCAATGAATGAATGAATATGACTGAATGAATCATTCAAGACAACAAAACTATGATTTAATGACCAATTTACAACTACAAGTTACAACTGCTGCTGTGTCTGCCAGCGTTTAAGTCACGCGCATAATCCTCTCGACACCTCGCGCATGCATAGACAATTTGTGCGCAACTGCGCCTAGTCACGGTATCGGTATTGGAGAAAACAGCACGACCCATCTACGGCAAGCCCCGAGGGGAAAAATACATTGCATACACGCATACAACAAGCGCCAGAACATCATTACCGGTATTATAGTAACAGACTTTGTTGGATTATGTCATGTAATATCGAACAAAGTCTGTTACGATAATAATAATAATAATAATAATAATAAGCGTTTGAGGACAGTTACACTGTATTGAGACAGTTGAGAAGTAGTAGGCCAAATATTTTTAGTTTTCAACAATAGGCTTGTTGAAGCCTTGCTCTTATGTTTCTCAGTTTTGTCATAATTTTAGCAAATCATTTCTTTTATATGTTTTGAGACAGTTTTAAGACTGTTAAAACTTTTTTTTATTTAAGTAGGCATCTATTTTTTTTATTAAGTATTAATTTTGCTGTAGCCTAATACATAACCTATTCATTTATAATGTATCATTATTGCGTGAAATTTGTGTCAATAATCGTCAAACACAGGTGACGCCGCGTCGTGGGAGGGGCCCCCAAATCAAATTCTGCTTAGGGCCCCCAAAAGGCTCGGGCCGGCTCTGCATAAAAATACGTACTACTTTTTTTTCTTCGTCATTTTCTTTGCTTTATTGGCGGTAGTCCAGTGTTCCCCTTTGTGTTTGGCAGTTTCGCCGGGTTCCGCAAGGAAGTTAGAGAAAATAGAGGAGTCAAAGGTTATATGACGCCATAGACGGGCGACGAAACGGAAATAAAGAAACGTCCCGTGTCTTCGAATTAAACTATAAATTTCTCCGTATTTGAAAGTTGGTGGAAACTGTCAGGATAATGTAAGTACACATCTAATAGAAATATAACATAGACAGAATTATTTTTTGCTATTTTTAAAGCAGAAAAAATACATATTGTGGCTTTAATGGAGTTTCATCTGTTAATCGAACAGTCCCAGAAGTGAGAAGAAAATGGTTTGACATAAAGCTTGACAGCAAAAAATGAATTAGTTCACTTTGGAAAAATCGTATTCAAACTGGAGAAGGACCGCCATCGATCACCAGATCTACTACTGGCTCTTATAATAAAAGTAAAAAAAAACAAAAAAAAAACGTACGTAATTACTATATAAAATATTGGTAACACTTTATAATAACTACACGCTAATAATCATTAGTTAAGCATGAGTAAACGGTTTATTCATCATTCATAAAGCATTAATAGACATTAATAAGCAGTTTATAAATACAGCTGCAAATGCTTTCTTCTTGATTTAAAAGTATATCTATAATTTGTTTAATAATTGTATTTTCATTTTTTTAAGCTAAGTAATTTAAGAGTTTTCAGCTTTATTAACATGTGTTTCAGCTGCAATTCAGGGTTAATTCGGGTAGTTTGGGTATGTATTCGGGTAGTTCGGGTGTGCCATTTGATTGGAATTTCCTCCAAACTAAATTAAAATTAGAAAATTTGCTGACTCTTGACCGTTTTAAATCAGTTATCCCGCGAATGGAAGCTGATCTAACATTATGTAACTGCTTTTAATCTATTCTTTTAACTGTTTTTTTTTCTCTCTCTCTCTTTTTTTTTTTAAAATGATTTGTCTGTGTGATGTTTATTTGTAATGGAACTGATTCTACTGCTGCACATTTTTGGCCAGGACACTCCTGTAAAAGAGATTCTTAATCTCAGAGAGCTTTTCTGGAAATAAAGTTTAAATAAAAAAATAATAAAATAAAAAAAGTTATAAAGCATTTAGTAGTGGTCAGTTAACTATGTTC